ACAAATAGTGTTAATTTTCTTCATTGCTTTGAAGTTTTGGTTGTAGGCTTTTCTTTAATATACGTTTTATTCTTTTAAAAGTTTCTTTATCTTAGCTTTAGTATCACTTTCTATGAAAAGAATCACAGTTGAAATCACAAGACACTGAAAAAAAAATCTTAACCTCCTAAGGTTTATATGAAACTGCTTAACGAGGATGGTCATAGACATAGGCTTTCATTCAAGTCTTGAGGTAATCCAGCAACTGTAACTCAGTATCAATTTTGTGTACTGAAAATACTAGTAACTTTTAAGAATTCAGAATTTGTTTCTTAAAAATTGGTACTAAATAGAATAAGTTTCAAATGTAAAAATTTTATAAACATAGAACCTCAAGCATAAATGTAAATATATAAATATGTATTACCCCTACATTATCTTCTGATGTAAATTATTAGCAAATTAAGGTATTAGTATTATTCAAAAATAAATATTACCAAAAAAACTTAATGCACAAATGAAATAGTATGTGATCTTTAAGAAATAGTTTAAAAAAAACAAAATAGTATTATTGTTGAGTTGATCAACTGTTGAAGTGTTCCAACTGCTGAAAAAGCTCTCTGACTCTACACTAGTGGGGTATATTATGGGAAAATATTTATAAACTTTCCAGATTTTTTCCTGTTTATTTAATCTTTGTGTAACTCTATTTCTCTGTGATAACTTTCAGTTCTTCTAGAATTAATAAATTAAAAACTCAAGTTACCTTTCTAAGTTTTGCATGTAATTTTCCCCACATTTTCTCCCTACCCAGATCCTCAAAAGTTCTCTTTATTACTGTTTTGTTTTCTGCAATCCTCCAGCTTCCTTCTTTCCCCTTCCAAGCTTCCACTGGTGGTTGAGATGAGGGAGATGAGTTAAGTATATTGAACCTCTAAGATTTAGGTAGTATTTTGCTACATCATTTTCTAATAGCAAGACCTTGGGCATGCCAAAGTCACCTAATCTCTCTGAACTTTAGTTTGTTTATTTTTTAAGTGAGAATATGTCCTTCTGCCCCCTCATTTACTTGGGGATGAAACCATATATACACTAGTGTTTTAAAAATACTGTTTTCTTCACAAGCATATCCATTAAGTAATTTGAGACTTGGTTTGTTTCTTACTAGTTTTTTTCACTCCCACCAAGTTATATGTATGTACTTTTTCATATTTTGATTATAAATTTAATGCATGCTTGTTGTAGAAAGTCTGGAAAATACAGAAAGCTTACAGAAGAAAATAGCAACCTGAACAGTGCATCATCCTGTTTTCATGTTTTTTGGGGAAATTTAGTTTTGAGCCTGAATTTCCTGAGGGTAAGGATAGTTAGTGTCTCACTTATTTTTAGATTTTCTATTCTTTGTATACACTAGGCACAAAATTAACGCTTGTTGAATGAATGGGAACTAGTCTGGGTGTATTTCTTAAAGTCAAAAGCTTGGTAAAATTTTACTGGACGTTGGAAGAGAGAAAAGACATCTGACTAGCAAAAATAATAGTGGATGCATATTCTAAAATGACGTTTTTCTCTTGGCTAAAAGTACAATGGAAAACATGATAGGGTCAACCCTAATATTCTCTGGCAGAAGTTAGGAAACTATTTAAAGCTACTGGATATGGTGCCACTGGGGGCAGTTTCATATCAAAGTGGATTAACATTTACTCAGTGACAACAAAACAATAAAATTTAAAGGCTTTTTATCTTGAATGCTTGAAAATTGTAACAACTTTCTTTTTTCTCTTATTTTTTTGTTAAACAGGATGGCTTAAATTCCTTGGTCCTTGATTTGGATTTCCCTGCTTTGAGGAAAAACAAAAATATAGATAATTTCTTAAATAGATGTAAGTATGTGTAAATTTCATATTTGATCATGTGACTCTACTTTTTTTTTTTTTTTTTTTTGTGGTACGCGGGCCTCTCACTGTTGTGGCCTCTCCTGCTGCGGAGCACAGGCTTCGGACGCGCAGGCCCAGCGGCCGTGGCTTACGGGCCCAGCCACTCCGCGGCATGTGGGATCTTCCCGGACCGGGGCACGAACCCATGTCCCCTGCAGCAGCAGGCGGACTCTCAACCACTGCACCACCAGGGAAGCCCTGACTCTACTTTTGATAAGAGATTTATGTTTAATTAATATTATTACAGTCCACAAACTTTTAACTTATTAAATTTAAATTTTTTTTAGTTTGCCATTTGATTTATTTAAATACTAGTATTCTTTATTTCAAAGCAGAATTGCCAAATCAAAGTATGTAAAGTAGGTAAAGTTCAAGGTTTTGATTAAATTAAGATTGCTTAGAATTTCAGGACAGGTCATTTATGGCAGTTCCAAGAGAAGTTTTCAATTAATGTTAACAACTCTAAGACTTAGCTTTACATTATCCAGAAGACTTAATGAGCTTTATGTTTGTATAAATATAGACATTTCAGTCTAGTTAATGAAAGATAATGTGATAACAGTTATTGCCATAAACGTAGTAACTATTAATATATGCCAGTATTGACGTTGCAATGAAGTTGTAAATGAAGTTGAATTCTGAGAATAAGAAATTCTCAAAATAATTATATACACTTTATGTGACCACAGTATGCTCTTTAATTTGGAATTATTCAGAGACTAGGCTGTTTTTATAATTTAAAAATCTTATCTATAGTTATCAAATCTACAATATGTGATTACTGTTTTTCAAAGAAGTAATCTACCAATACTGATGATTGAGATTAGCCTTGTGTACTTTCATAGCAGCTTTCTGCAATGATTCAGAGTGTACTCCAGGATTGCCTGGATCGTCATAGTTTCAGCTGTCATATAACTTGCCAAGCAACAGAGTCAGAAACAGAATAGTCTAACTGCTACTTTTTGGTAGTCATTAATGTGTTTATATGTGTTAAACCAGAGAGTTTTGTCCTTTGATGTAACGTGTATGTGTCTTAGAGTTTTAAATAGCAACATTTAAAAATTGACAGATTTAGCTGGAAACTAAGCCCAGTTTCTTGAAATAAAAATTTGTTTACAAATATGGTGATTATTTTAAAAGGTTGCTTATCAATATGGTGATTGATATTATGGTGATCTTTTTACTGTAGATGAGAAAATTGTGAAAAAGATCAGAGGTCTACAGATGAAGGCAGAAGACTATGATGTTGTAAAAGTTATTGGAAGAGGTGCTTTTGGTGAAGTCCAGCTGGTAAGAAAGTATTTGTTTTGTTCTTTTTATTATTTCTTTTAATGACATGGTTTTGTGAAACATTATCAGTGGCCCTTGAGTAAATCTAATTTCTGTGTCCAACCATGCCAGAAAATTAGTTTTAAGAGCTTGGTCAAGTCATTCCATCTCTGAGAGCCTCAATATCTTCATCTATAAAAAGAGATAATTGTGCTATAAATACCAGGTCTTTTCCAGCTCTGAAACACTGAGATTTAGAATAAGGCCAACTTGGCTTCACTCATGATCTACCTAGCAGTTAATATTCTTCCAGAACTACTGTGTTTTTATTTAGTATGTTCAGATTAATAACATCTTTGCTTAATTAACTGAGATTTATTTAGATATACGAGAAACCCAACAAAGGCATTTTAATAACTGAAAGTAAATATAAAATTTACCTTTGTAGACTAAAGTGGTAGCACTGGAAATACTTCTAAATGTTTTCAAATATTTCAGATATTTTATTTATATTATTATGTGAAGAGCTATAATGTAATATTCCTATTTTCATCACCCGAATATGAAACTCTTTTTTTTTTTTTCTTCTTATAGTTAAACTATGGAGTCAAATTCTGTTTTTAACTTAAAAGTGCTTTATTCTTGATGGAGCACCAAGAAAAACTGACTATGTGCCAGCATGGGTTTCTCTAGGAACAAGTCATGACAGACTAACCTTTTGTCTTTTTCTCTTTCATTCCTTCTTTCTTTGATAGGTTTATTGAACTTGTAGATCAGTATAGTGCAATAGGTGTAATATATATCCATAAGATATTTGAAAAAGTTTGACATACTTGAGGATGATACGGAGAAGTGTCAACGAATAAGCATATGGATAGGGAGCTTTATAACTGCGTTAATAGCTGTATTCTAAGGAGCCCGATGAAGGCATGAATGGTTCCTTGGACAGAGATCCCCAAGGTCAGGTTTTAGGATTCTTTCCTCTCCTATTAAACATTTTATTAATGACTTGTGTGGAGGCAATGGTGGCATGTTGAATAACTTTGCAAATGAGTTAAAACTGTAGTATGAAGATGAGCCAAAACCCAGAAATCATCAAATGGGGAGGTCATTAGCCGGATAGACGAAGTGAAATTTAACCAGGATAATGACCTGTACTTGGGTGTGAAGAACTCAAGGAATAGATTGCTTAACAGTGATTATGAATTAAAGAACAATTTTCCTGAATGTAAACCAGGCAAAAGTCATTGGTGATGTGGCTACCCAAAATAGTAAAGTTTAGACTGCTGTAATAAATTTCTAAGATAATAGAGATAAGGTTTTCTCTAATTTGAGATGACTGGGCCATACCTGGCATATTTAATCCACTCTAGATGCCCTGTTGCCCTGTTTTAAAAGGGACGAGTAATGCTCAGGGACTTGAAATAATGCCATCTGAGGTATGGTTGAAGGAATTGAGACATTGATTGGGAGTAGATTTGAAGAATGGGCTGCCTTCGAAAGTAATGAGGTTTTGTTTTTGTTTTATTTTTGTTCTTAGTGAAAGTGCTGAAGCTTCAGCTGGTAGAATGCTCTAGTGGGTAGGGTGGGAGATTAGATTACATGACTGTTGATATGACAGTTTCTATGAGATAGGGAAATTATAAAGTAGTTGAATCCTAGCTCTGCCATGGTCAAACTCAAAAGATCATGGTGAGTTCAGGCAGATTTCTCAATCTCTCTGAGTTCCAACCTGTAGAATACAGATAATAACAACTATGTTATGGGGGTCGTTATAGGAAACTAAATAATTAACAAAATAAATAAGCCTGGTTGTAGTGTTCTCTGAGTGTTAACCATGATTATTATTTAGTATTTGATATAGGAGTCATACTATTGTGTGCATGTTTCAAATACAATACATGTATTTGAAACAGGCACATTGTTTCTTCATACTTATTTCATTGTGGTTAGGGAATAAACACTAGAATTTGAAGTTGCATTTTTTGGGGGAAATATGACAGACCTTAACTTGTCATGTTTTTGTGTCAGGGTAGTCATTGTTCTGTGTTAGATTAATTTGATCATTAAAGTTCAGTATGTTAAAGGGAAGGAAAACATAGAAACAGAGGCTTTTATTTTTGTTGTTAATTTCCATCCCGTATTTCATTTTGGCCACAGGATATGCCGAAACAAAGTCATATGTTTTTAGAAATGAAAAATATTTTAACGTTCCACTAATTCGATGACCTGGCCTGAGAGCTTGTACACGTTTGTTTTGGCTTTAGTTCTTGGTTGTTACCTTAGGCAGGGACTCGTAAAAAGAAGAATGAGATTGAAAAGGGAAAAGCCCAAGTGCTTCTCCCATAGCCTTTTGAAGTTGATTCGTATGTGGAAGATAAGTTAGTTAGGCAGATACGAAGGGAATGTTCCATATTTGGCACATCTTTATGATTATTTTTTCTACTCATCTGAAGAAAGTGTTACAGTAGTAGGTGCAAGTGTGTCTTCCCTTGTGAAATGCTTTTTCTGGTCAAGTAAAAATACGTTGTCACAGAAGACCTACCAATCAATTTCCACAAAGAAAATTCTTATTGTAAAATTATCTTTGGTATGTCACAGCAACTATACCGCAGTATAAGAGCTAGAGTCCAGACTACCTGTGGTTGAATTTAGACTCTTTTGCTGTCTAGCTGTGACTTCAGACAAGTTACTTAATCTCTCTGTGCTTAGTTTCTTATCTGTTAATGAAGATAACAATAGTGTTTATACCTCATGAGATTACTGGAAGAATTAAATGTGACAATATCTATAAAGCATTTGGAACAGTTCTTGGAATATATTCAATAGTAAGTGTTTAGTAAATGTTAGCAATTAATTGTCAGACATAAAACAGCACATTTATCTGTATCCATCAGTGAAGTAGTTAATCAGGATCTGTTATGTTCCAGGAGCTGTGCTAGCCTCTAAAGAGACAGTAACATAGCCTCTATCTTGCTGAAAGTGGTAGTTTTGTGGAGGAGATGAAGAATTTTACTTTAAACAAGTAAAGTTTTTTCAGATTACAATAAATGCCATGAAGGAAAAGATCTGGATGCTATGAGAGAGAATAATGGAGGAATGTGCCTTATTCAGACTGGGCAGTTAGGAAAGGTCTTACTGTGAGAAAGTGACATTTGAGTTAAGTTAAAGGAGTTGGCCACATGCAGAAGTGGGGATGGAGTGGGAGTTAAAATACAGAGGGAATACATGTGAAAATGTCAGAGTCAGGAGAGTGACAAGTCATTTAATTTATTTGGGTGTAGATTTCCTCATCAGAAAAGGCATTTCTCGTGGATTGAAAAGTTCTGTAATCCCTGGAGGGCAGAATTTGTTCAGCTTGTTGTCTTCTGTCTTTTCCCCCCCTATCTACAGAGATGTACATTTATATTTTTATATCATGAAAGGTCCTCAACAATGGATGGTTTTATCTAATATCCCTCTTGTTTTTGGATTCTACTCTTTTGGAATATTTTATTACATCTCATTTTGATGGAACATAATATGAGCCAGTATAGTATATTGATTAAGAGCATGTACTCTGGTGACTTCCATGGTGGTCCAGTAAGACTCTGTGCCTCCACTGCAGGGGTGCAGGTTCCATCCCTGGTCGGGGAACTAACATTCCACATGCTGCAAGGTGTGGCCAGAAAAAAAAAAAGGTGAATCAAGGATTTTGAAATGAATTTATAAATAAATGTAAAACTGGCTTTTAAAAAAAAGAGCATGTACTCTGGAGCTAGACCTCTCAACTACCTAATAACTTCTTTGTGACTTAGTGTCCTCATTTGTAAAGTGAAGATAATAATAGTTCATTATTCATAGGTTGCTATGAGTGTGAAATGAGCTAATATATGGAAAATATCTAGAATAGTATCTGACACATAGTGAATAGGTAATAAATTGTAGGCTAAAATTGGAGCCTGCTGGAAAAGCAGTTAAGGTCCTTTTAAAGATTCATTTACTAATTTCACATATTGGCTTAACAAAACATGTTTTTATAGTTAAGGTAGTAATGTTCAACTTTTAATAGATATTTTTGCTTAAAGTACTCTGGTACTGTGGAAAAACAGTCAAAGCCATCTACTTTTGTTTCTGTTCTGTGGTATGCAGATTTCCTGTCATCAAAGGTTTCATTTCTTTATCTTGGAGTGGCACTAATAATAGAACTTTTATAAGAGGTTTTGTGAGGACTAAATTATGTTATACATATGTGGTACTTATCATGGACGTGGCACATTGTAGGTATCAAGTAAATATTAGCTGTTGTCACTATTGTCAGTTTCTGTGGATTTATGGCATTAAATGAGTTTTAATTTTGAATAAATAATCAGAAGTCTTGTTCTTACTTTCATATATATTTATGTATGTTAATTTGCTAGGGCTGCCATAGCAAAATACCACAGACTGTGCTTAAACAACAGAAATTTATTTCCTTAACAGTTCTGAAGGCTAGAAGTTCAAGATCAAGGTGTTAGCATGTTTAGTTTCTTCCAAGGTCTCTCTCCATGGCTTGCAGATGGCCACCTTCTCACTGTGTCATCACATGGTCTTTCCTCTGTGCATGCGCATCCCTGGTGTGTCACTCTGTATGTCCTTCATCACCTCTTCTCATAAGGACTCCAGTCAGGTTGGATTAGCACCATCTCTAACTGCCTCTTTTTAACGTAATCATGTCTTTAAAGGCCCTGTCTCCAAATACAGTCACATTCTGAGGTACTAGAGGTTAGGGCTTCAAAATGTGAATTGTGGGTGAGGGGGACACATGATTCACCCCACTACGGTATGTATGTATGTGTGTATGTATGTATGTATGTATGTTGGGATGAACTTTTCAGTGAGATAACCTTTTGACCATGGTATGCATGCTTACTTTTTTTGTTTATGTTTATTAACTTTTCTTGGACACTAATTTTCTTTTCTTTGAAAAAGAGAGTTATAAATTCTAGCCTTGCAAATACCTTCTTAAGGTAAAAATACAGTCTTCCTCTCTATTAGTAGAA